GAGCAGCGGGTGGGTCAGGAGAGGTCTGCCACGCCATGTGGTCACCTCCAGGGCAGGTAGGGATTGAACTCATGCTGAAGTGGCTTAAGCTTCTTAGTGCTGTGCTTTAACCCGCTGCGCCTTCAGGGAGGGCCCTAAAAGAATTTTTTAATGACATACTCAAATACTGATACACAATTGTATAGGTGGTATTGTGAAGACTGATTGTTCTCCATTCTTCCTGTCTCTCCCCACTTGTTAAAGTTGTTTTTGTATTACAATAGGCTGTAGGAGTGAGAAAAGGGAAGATGTCCACTTTTTCCTTTTACCCACAACCACTACACCCTGAATTGTACCATCATCAATAACTATTATGCTTTGCCAGACTCATCATATTTCTCTCACCTTTTTTTTTTGTTAGGATATGCTCCCTGTTTTCTGAAATTTAAACCCTCTCCCTACACAGTTACATGTCCTTTTGCCTTTTCAGAAACTTTGCTCCTACATTTAAGTTACTGATTTATGCTCATTAATATCCTAGCCTCTTGTGTTTTCAAAGGGTACACACACCTGCCTCTTGATCCCATTTTTCCCATCAGCCTATTGTATTTCTCTGTTTTTATGGCAGAATTTCTCAAGAGCTGTCTTCACTAGTCGTTTGTATTTCTCTTCTCTCATCCATAACTCAGCTCTTCAATCTGATTTTTCTTCCCACTTACCTACTCTGCCTGCTTATGTCAGTCTCCTTAAGCACATTCCATGTTGCCAAGCCCACTGATTATTGTGTTCCTCAACTGATAGCTGGTCTTAGGGATTGCATGATACCATATGACTTCATTTTCTTCCTACTTCACTGGCCTCTCCTTCTTAAACTCTTGTTAGTTTTCTCTCCACTACCAGATTTCTGTTTCGCAAAGCACTACTCACTTTTCTTTCTTCTTGATTCTTCCTAGATGACTTAATCCAATTGTGACTTTAAATACCAAAATAGTAGTTCTGAATATACATCTTGAAATCTAATACTCTGGGATTTATATTCCTTTATTCATCTGCTCACCTGACTAGAATCACAAAATTGGTGTGCTCAAATGAAGACTTTCATTTCCATGAACACAACATTCCCTAAAATCCTGTTTTTCGCCAGTCTGTTCAATAATATCATCATCTCATTCACTCTTGCAGGCTGAAAAACTAAACTTCACCTTTGATCACCTCTTTGCCTGTTTGTAAATGTTCTATATCCAATATGGGAGCAAATTATGCTTTCTCCTGTGATCTTGCAAAGTTTTGAATTGGGTTACACACTTGTTTTAAAAACCCCTAAGGTCTTCTTGCTGCATTTAGAATAAAATTGAAACCCTTACCTACTCTCTAATCTCATTGCTTTTCACTATGATTTTATTAACTAAACTAAATCTGTGCTCATCATTTTGTTCCTCAAAGTATACCATTCTGTCTTATGCCTTCGACCTTTACACTTAAATGTTTCTTTGCCTGTAATGTAGTCCCTGGCTTCTACAAACAATGATCCTGTTCTCAGCTAGAATATTTCTGTCAGAATCTTTATCCGAAAATGTATACCACATCCAACCACTCTTAGCACCACATAATTCTGATGTATTTTCTTTGCAGCACTTGGCTTTCTGAAATTTTCATTGAATCTGTTAGTTTTCCTTAATGATTGTGTACGAACATTTTAATCATAAACATTAGATTCAGCACTAAAATATCAACTGGCATATAGGAGATTCTGAACAAACCTAAGGAAGGACTGAATCACAGGGATTACTTTAGCATGATAAAATTAACAGGACTGTCTGATTACTCTATGGAATATATTTTTATATTCATACTGAAGCCCTCTAGTTATTTCAGCTGAAATTTTATTTTAAATCTTCTTTTCTACTCAAAATTATGTGTTCTGGGGCCCTCCCTGGTGGCACAGTGGGTTAAAGCACAGCACTGAGAAGCTAAAGCCACTTCTGCATGAGTTCGATCCCCGTCTGCCCTGGAGGTGACCACATGGCGCGGCAGACCTCTCCTGACCGGCCCGCTGCTCCCCTCAGCAGTGTACTTCGT